AGGTCCATACATGTTTCAACAGATGTCCCTTTATTGTATTCAAGTGTTTTTTATTTAGTTATGTACATTACCTACCTAAATATTCACCTTCAAACACAACTTTTTGGCACTTTTCCCCTATTTCTTGGTCATTTCGAGCAGTTTTAATCACATTATGTCCATTATTACATAGTTTTTAATGCTTGACACGATTTCTGTATTGATTTCCTAAGATTTTAATGTGTTGAGGAGGTTGGGGGTGGTTATTATAAGCACATTACCTGTTTGTGTCATAAACGTCATGCGCATTACAAAATTTTAATTATTTGTCTATTTGTCCTTGAGCACTGACCCTAGAAATGGTATTAAAAAAGAGATATGGTGTTCTCCAAGAGTTAGCTGGTTTAGAGCGGCAAGGTGTATGAAGGGCATCCCCGTTAAAAGACACGGAGGCAGATTTCTGGTTTGTGATGGACTTACTATGGTTCTATAAAAAAATACAAACAACAGTCAGTGCAGAACACACCCTACATAATACACATACACACTCAAAGACTCTATTCAGCAATGACTCATATATAACTTATTTATTGTAAACGAATATACAGCACACATCGAACATGGTGCTACTTAGCTTAGTAGCTGAACATCAAGCAGCATAAAATGCCTAACATCAGGCATATAAAGTAGCACCATTCAGCAAAATGACACACCATTTAACTCAACTTCTGACAAGTACAGTAGGGCAAGTACAGTAGGTATATGGATATAAAGGATGAATGTTAGGAGAAAACGGGAAATAATGAGCTGTACACTGCTGCATCAGTAGAAAAAACTTTCATGCATCTCACACGCAGGTGCGGTGCGGACAATGAGGTTTCGAATCCCTATGGTGCATTCATGAGTGTCAGACATATGAAAGCTCACCGAAAACACAATATACAGTTTCCAATGGAAAACATCTAAAAGACATGGGTTTTCTAACAGGCATGTCTGCCACCAGGCATAGGGTGTTTTTGTTTTCAATAAGTGCACATGTTGGAGACGTAATACAGTGAATATCATTATAAATGGATAGTTTTATTGGAATAACTGTAAAGTTAGGCTTCTGTTTCATGTGCCATATATTCAAAATTATTCCAGTGTTGGCTACAATTTTTGGTACACAGAGACTCACATGGTACCAATTTAGACAATTAATAAGGGAATAATAGGATGTATATTGTGGTTGCATGGTATATTCAAACATTTACCGTCACACGGTTTTCACTTTTTTTATATGCTTTTTTTGCCTCCAGCTCTAAAAACTGACCCATAAGAAGTTAGCGCCTTAAAAGAATGTGTCCATATAGCCAAGATGTATGGCTGCAAATAAAATATATTGTTATAAAGTAATATTGGCTAACGCAATCCAATCATATATTATTTATCCCCTAGTTACTAAAGACATTAAAAGAGTTGAAAAGGGTTAATGCTAATTGATCTTAACGGTCTCATTAATATTATAAAAATGAAGATTCTGTCACAAATACTGTTTCTTTTTTTTTCATCAGTCCCTATAGAGATAACAATTTATTAATTGGAAAATAACAATTTATGGATTCATATGGAAAGGTAAAACACATATTAATAGATGTTAAAACATGGTAATGTTATTGTGCTAAATGATAACCAGCTTTTATTTAAACTTTAGATTTAAATAAATAAGTTTAGATTTTCAACTTTTATTTAAAGTGAAAATCCTATCTGCGTAATTAAATGTTGGGATCTGGAGGCTTGTCCACTTTCTCCACCAGAGGGCGCCTGAAATCTTCCTCCTGAGGGCATGAGCTCACCTCTAGACACCTGTTTCCTGTCTCCTCATCAAGAACACCTATTTAAGGAGGAGGAGGAGGCTGACACTTCCCTGCCAGAGTGTTTGCCAGTAATGGTTAGCAAAACCTGAGCCAGCCTGCCTGATCTAAGACCCTGATTTAGTGAACCTGTCTGACCCTGTTTCTCTCTGCCTCACAGATCCTGACTTTCCAGGAAATCAGAAACTCTGGAGATAGAAATCTCTGCCTGGAATCTGCCTGCCTGCACTCAGTCTCAGTCTCTGCCTCTGCCCTCAGCCCTCTGCCTGCCGACTAGCCTCTGGACTCACATGGTTCCCCCCCTGCTGATCTGAATCCTCTCTGAGTAGGTATTTGTCCATGTCATCAGTAAACTGCAAATTTCCTGGATCTATTCTAACTGCTCTGTCCTCCTCAGTGGTGATCCTCCCGAGACCAGTCTGAAGAACCCAGAACCGTGCATCATCTTTCATTGTAATCATTGTAAATAAATCATGAATGTGTCCATATAGCCAAGATGTATGGCTGCAAATAAAATATATTGTTATAAAGTAATATTGGCTAACGCAATCCAATCCTATATTATTTATCCCCTAGTTACTAAAGACATTAAAAGAGTTGAAAAGGGTTAATGCTAATTGATCTTAATGGTCTCATTAATATTATAAAAATGAAGATTCTGTCACAAATACTGTTTCTTTTTTTTTCATCAGTCCCTATAGAGATAACAATTTATTAATTGGAAAATAACAATTTATGGATTCATGTGGAAAGGTAAAACACATATTAATAGATGTTAAAACATGGTAATGTTATTGTGCTAAATGATAACCAGCTTTTATTTAAACTGAAAAAAAAAAGAAAAAAAAAACGCTCCAGAAAGCATTTGGAGATAAGTTGAAAATCTAAACTGCGTAATTAAATGTTGGGATCTGGAGGCTTGTCCACTTTCTCTACCAGAGGGCGCCTGAGATCTTCCTCCTGAGGGCATGAGCTCACCTCTACACACCTGTTTCCTGTCTCCTCATCAAGAAGACCTATTTAAGGAGGAGGAGGAGGCTGACACTTCCCTGCCAGAGTGTTTGCCAGTAATGGTTAGCAAAACCTGAGCCAGCCTGCCTGATCTAAGACCCTGATTTAGTGAACCTGTCTGACCCTGTTTCTCTCTGCCTCACAGATCCTGATTTTCCTGGAAATCAGAAACTCTGGAGATAGAAATCTCTGCCTGGATCTGCCTGCCTGCACTCAGTCTCAGTCTCTGCCTCTGCCCTCAGCTCTCTGCCTGCCGACTAGCCTCTGGACTCACATGGTTCCCCCCCTGCTGTCCTGAATCCTCTCTGAGCAGGTATTTGTCCCCGTCATCAGTAAACTGCAAATTTCCTGGATCTATTCTAACTGCTCTGTCCTCCTCAGTGGTGATCCTCCCGAGACCAGTCTGAAGAACCCAGAACCGTGCATCATCTTTCATTGTAATCATTGTAAATAAATCATTTAACTTTTCCCCTGTCTTAAGAGTGGTTTCTGCATGTGGGTTAGACGCCTTGAACCCAACATGACATTAAAGACACCTCTTAATATTTGGTTTAAGGAATAATGCAAGTTGAACATATCAAACAATTAAACGAGTTTTCCTTAAGATTGTAACATGTATTACTTAACTGCAATAGCAAGCATTACTGCTTGTTGTTTGATTTTAGATAAGAATAGATATTATACTTTTTAAAAAGCTTAGCAAAATAACTGAATAATGATTGTTTTTAGATATCCTAGAATATCCTTAGAATATATTGCATATAGAATTTGAGAATATTTTTTAATATTAACTTAAATAAACTTAATATTTAGGTGTAGGTATTAAATACAAACTATAAATGTAGTTATCAGATGAAGAAATATCACTTTTCCACATAGAAACAAGAAACAAACTGTTTGCTTGTTTTTTTTTTTGTTTTAGGTAAACCTGTCATGATTGGTTACAGAGTAAACCCAATATGCAGAACACACACGGAGGCTGATGAAAAGTTTAACAAGGTTTATTGATAACACAAGCACAAGAATATTGCACTGAAACTGGTTCGGGTCTGGGGGCAGGTTCACTGGAGTCTGCAGGGATGACAGTTCAGTTAGCACATGGACTGATGAGTTATGAGTCTTTGAGTTTGCTGAGGAATACCTTGAAGGAGTCCGAGTTTCTCTTTGAGAGAGGAAACTGTTGGGTCCAGAGACTGTTTGTTCGGCAGAGTCCAATAACTGCTTCAGCGTCTTACTTCTGACTTTGAGGGCAGACCTTGGTTTGGGTTTCCAGCTCTTAACCAAGAGCTGCAGGGGAATCCAGAGAAGAGTCTTCAGGTTTGGCTCACGAGGGCAGGCTCGGCAGGTTAAGCTCATCCAGAGCTTCTAGGAGAGACAGGATTCCTGTGAGGCAAAAACAAGGAAGAGTTAGAATCTTATCTCAACTGGAGATAGCAAAGATTCTCAGGTTTTCTAGGCTCAGGTTGCTTACCAAACTAGATCAACACTGCGGCGTTGAGGCAAGGTCTGAAGGCAGGTTATATAGTGGTGGATCCTCTGATGATGAGATGCGCCACAGGTGTGTTGGAGGCTCAGCTCAGGAGGACCCACGGCGCACTCTGCTGGAGGAAGGTGGTACGGCTCCAGATCCCAACAAAACCTAATTCACTAAACCTAATTTAGTGGAGTATAACCCCTTTATATACTAAATATGTTGACAGCGTTGCGAGAGGAGAGATCATATTCTGGATGTCTTTTGGCTTGTGGGGATCCGTCCATCACCGACTCCACTGTCTACAGCTTTTAATTGATATGAATCTATTGTAAAGCTAGTGGTTAAGCTTAACAATATTATCAATCGTTAGTCGCATCTAAAGATTGGTTTGTAATAGAGCCAGGGAGGAGAATGAAGATCAAAGCCACATACAAAATATAAATAATTGAAAATATATTGATATTTAAAACTAACAAAAACAATACTGACAGTCAGAATAGGACAACATAAAACATAAACAATGAGCAATGACAACAAATGTTTATGTTTTATGTTGTCCAAAAGAGTCTTGAAATTGGGATTTATTCCAAAAGAGTTAGAGTAAATAAAATAGTTTGAATAATCTAGGCTTTTTAATACTACTAAATATTTAAATGCATTAAAATCACAATTCAAACTTTGGGTTTTTCAATTTCCATTTTTATTCAAAGGCAGGGAAATAAATTTTATATTTTAGTTTAAAATGTTTTCAAAATAGTTTGCTACATGCACATAGATCTAAAAATAGACACAGACACAAACACATTACACACAAACACACCTATACCCACTACAGTCATCCACTGATTAATTTATAAAAGATATATTCACACAGCACTTCTAAACAGTTATTGTTGCTTCTTCTTGAATACAATCACCTTAATCCTTCAGAACCACAAGAGGAAAAATCTGTTGAAACTACGTTGCAGCAGAGTTGGTTTGAATCATTTATATTTTACTTTGATTACATTTTTTTTACATGAAACTAAAACTGTAACATAAAACAATAGTTTCTGCTGATATATAATGTTGATAGAGAAATCAGGTCTTCTCATATGGTGAAAAGCAGATGGCCGCTGAAGGTTGTATGATGATTTGGATTATCATATATCCTTGTGTTTTCCCAGTGACGCAAAAACACAACATCTCCTGTCTCTAACAACAATGTGACACCATTGGATGATGAACCGAATCCATTAACTTGATGCTCATATGCAATAAAAATGTGTTCTCCGTTCTTGACCAGCACAGCACCTGAAGCATTTGAAGAATGTCCACTTGCACCTACTTTGAATGCAAAGTGATAGGCTCCTCTCAGTGGTGCTATGAAAAACCCTGCAGAAAAAAAAAATTAATAATACTAACAACAATTTGGAAAATTTGTGGCTAAAATCCTACTTTTCAATAAAACCCATGAAATCTAGAAAGTTTCCTTTCCAGAATAAACTAACATGATATAAAGGCTATTTTTTTCTTACGTGACATTATCATTCCAGGACCTTATGGCCAAAGTTTGACATGTGCTTTGAACTATATAAATAAACAGTATATGAAACAATTATTAAACCAAGTTACCTGTGTTTGGGTTGTAGGCATTTCCGATATTTGTAACAACATGCCTGAAGACCAGAGGGACGTGCGAGTTAAATGGACCAAGAGTTTCTGTGCCTGAGGCCAACAATGAAGCTGAAAAAGCCACTCGTTTCACTATAAGGAAGAAAGTATTGGGATTTGGCTTGGTTTTGATTAAGAAGAAAAATTCACATTAGCTGAAGAATACTTCACAATGTATAGAATTTAAAAATCACCAATTTTTGGTAAGAACAATGCACTATTTTTTTATTTATAATAAGCTTAAAACAGACAAACTAGTAAGTGTTGACTAGTCTTTCCTGTATGGTTTGCATAAATACAGTATGCAAATCCACTGCTCTTGCAGCGGACAAAGGGCCGGATTTATCAAGATCCAATTTTGCGTGCAGTAATTTGCGCTCGCAAACTGGAATTTTGTGCAAGGGGCTGAACCATGGTTTGCGGGTGATTTAACAAGATTGATTGCGTAACTGGTGGCAGGTGCAAAACTGTTGGAGACGCCCTATTTAAATGATGGTTTTGCGCGTTTTGTGGTTTGCGGCAAAGTAGTTTGTACAAACTAGTGCATTAAAGAAATTTAAATCTTACAGTGACACCCCCACCCCGTCCAAAATAAATAAATAAATAAATATATATATATATATATATATATATATATATATAAACTTTATATTACTATATATTACTTCACTGCAGTAAAAAAAAACAAAAAACAGTTGTTTTGTATTGGCCTGTAGAAAAATGCACATATGCACAGATTACTGCGTGTACGCATCCCCGCAGCATTGGCATGTTGCTCCACAGGCGCAGGGGGGAGGTCGGGGTTCTCCGGTAGGGCGTCAGGGCGACATGGCATTTAGATCGGACAGCACTTCTGAAAAACGAGATTGGGAGACCCCAGCTCTCTCTGCAACTGTACGCTGGAATGACCCAGATGCAAAAAAGTGCAATGTTGCAAGGAGTTTTGTGATATCTGGTATTGCATGGGTCCTCCTTGTGGCTGGCTCCAAATCCATTCGGGGTTCCCCCAACAGCTACAAAATGGCAATGCTGGATAAACAATATGTTTTGATGATCGTTTCCTCGTTCATTCCAAAAATATTCATACGGAGTGAAAAAATGCGTTCTCTGCGTCTCCTTTCTTCATTTCAACGTCTCCTTCTTGCGACAATAACCGCTGCCATGTGTGCGCAATTACGCATGCAGATCATTTGCACCTTCTTTTGAAACGTGTTAAATATAGAGTCAGATACCGTTAGCAAAATTGCTTTCAGGTTTGATAAATCACTTTGCGAGTGCTAAATTAATATATTTACATGTTCTCCTCCCACAAGACGCACTTTTGCGTGTAAACGCCCCATATTGCATATTCATTGCAGAAAAAGTACTAAATGGATAAGAGGCGCTATTTAGCACGTTTTAAATACCAAATCCTTTTAGCACGCTGTGGATAGATCAGTTTGTACATTTTTTAGCATGCGCAGTGAAATAGCTCACGTTTTTATACACGCAAACCTTTGATAGATCCGGCCCAATGTGTTCAGTGTGAATGCAACTTAATGGTACAGACAAAGGAAGTTAATTTCTGGATTCACAAACCTTCGCCTTCTTTCTTCAGAGTCTCCACCTGATTCTCAGTGACGATTGTCCTGCTTTTAACATTGATAAGATCCTCTATCTGAGCTGAAATCATACAAAGCAAAACATTTGTTATAAAATACATCAAATACCATGATATTAATAAAAATATGTATTTTAAGTTTTGTAACATTTTGCCTAACCTCATTTAGCAGACACCATGACTAGGCATAAGTAAGTAACATTAATTGATTATTGGTTTCTGTGTTAGCCATTTTTTTCTTTACATATATATATTTCTGATACAAAATCATTTGTTATCATGCAAGATTTTGCTTGTTTTATATTGGCTGATGTTATAAAAAATGCAGTTAATACAAATGTATTGTTTATACTTTAATTGAAGTTGGTGTTCCTTTCTAATTGCATTTCCACATTCTTTAAATACCTCGGTGCTGTTGTTTCACCTTGTCCAACTCTTGTGTCTGAACTGTGTGGAAAAAATAGATGAAATTATTTTACAAAGTTATTGCTTTGACGGATTGAACCTTCTTTCTTCAGAGCCTCCACACTGTTTTCAGTGATGGTTGCCCTGCTTTTAACATTGATCAATTCTTTTATCTGAGCTGAAATCACACAAAGCAAAACATTTGTTAACAAAACACAATAAAAATAACTGTAGGAGCCATTTGTCCTTTCCTGTATTTATCATCACCAGGGGGTGTATTTCATTTTGAGTTCTGATTGGCTGATGGAAGATGGGGTTATTTAAGCCCAACCCTGATTCTGCTGTTAATGAGAGAATGCAACAGTTTTCTACTGTGTTTGGTTTAGATTAATGTGTAATTTATGTATATGGAAAGCCAAGTACTAAAACTATGGACAATGTTCTGTTAATAAATGACTTTATTAATAGTAAAGATCAACATGATAATCTTAATTGAACACACATAAAACCAACACCTTTCAGGAACAGCAACCAGTAGCCTAAAATATAGGTTTTTAGCTGCTACAATATTAACGATAATACATATATTTATAGAATTCTTGTAACATTTAACTAAAACTCATAAAGTAGAAAATAGGAACAGCCCATAGGTTTTCTAAATCAAATTAATTATTTCTTTATTTCTGTGTAAACCCTTTTTTGTTTTTAATTATGCATGTCTGATGCACAGAGGTGTCGAAAGTATAAATTTTTATTACTCAAGTGGAAGAACAAATCCTACTGTTTAAAAACACTTTTGTAGAAGATAGAGTATCAACTTAAGCTTTTTACTCGAGAAAAAATACCATGTTTAAAACTATTTGAAGTATAAAAGTAACACAGGAAAAAGTGTTTGTCACGGTCCTGGTTCTGCCTTTTTTTTTTGAGTATTCAGCTTTACTTTGCTTCATGTTTTCTTGTTTTATCAGTTTAATTCCTATGTTTTTAGTGTTTTCTGGATATATTTGAGTTCTTAGGTTTTTATTTGTTGCCCTCCGTTACCCTCTTGTGTTGGTCTCCTTTTCCCTAGCTCCTTTCTAGACTCCTCTCTTCACACCTGCTCCCAATCAGGTCGTTAGTCCCCTCTTTGTTCAGTCTCCCATATAAACTCTCCTTGTGCATGTCAGGACCCCAGTCTGTGTGTTTGTCTTTTTTGTGTTGTTCTCCCTTCCACCAGCAGGAGGCGCCTGGTTCTGGTCCTCCTCCTCACACACCTGATGATGCTTGCCTCGTTAGCGGAGTGCTCTTACCTACCTCGACGCCAGAGTGTTTGCCAGTTTTGGGTACTCTAGCCAAGCTGTGTTTTTGCTGAGTAAGACTGAGTTCTTGTCTACCTGACTTTTAACTTCGTTTTTGTCTTTGCCTCTCGGCAGGAAGTCATCCTGCAAACTAGACCTTTACGGACCTTCACTCCATGAAGGAATCAACAGAGCCTCAAACCTAGCTGGGGATTCAAACTGGAGGTTTGGATCCTTCTTTCTTGAAGAGGTCATTGAGTTAACTCTCTGAGCAAGGGATCATCTCCATTACTACCCGTTCAAGTACCGCAGGAAATCTGAGTGGCAGTCAGTTTCTCCGTTCACCAACAATCATCCGAGTTCTGGGTAAACCCTGTTCCGCCCTCCACCGAATCAGAATAACACTGGAAAACAGCACACAGGTTGGAGTCAAAGATCACCACCAGATCCTCTTCTCCATATCCACAAATGAAATTTCCCACTGAGCCTGAACTAATTGTTTGTCTTCCCTTCACCTTCCAGTTCCGGTTGACCTAAGTTCAGGGCAACTCAGCACCGAGCCTTATCTCTTCAATAAAGCCTGTTAAAATTTTCTGTGGTCTAATTGTTTGCTCTTCTGCATTTTTGGGTCAGGCCTTTAGTAAAATCATGACAGTGCAGTTCTTTAGTGCTCGTTCCTCGTCTTACCTCGTCTCTCCTCGCCTTTCCCTGACTCCACATGCTCTTTTCCCCTGATGCCTCCATGGTTCTGGTTAGGTTTTACATTTTAAGTTGGATATTAGATTCCTGCATCTGTTACCTGTATTGATTTATTAAAAACAGCAAGAACTCACCTCTGCCTTTCAGCCTCTGCATTTGGGTCCTCAAACCGGAACCAAACCCTGACAGTGTTGAGGACAGACTGCACTAACCTATTCAAGGAACATTTTTCTACAATTCTGGAACATAATTTCTTATACTTTATTTTCTCAGTTTTATAACTAATAGTAACAGTGTCAAATTTAACTGCATCCTCTTGATAAACTACAACTTTTAAGTTCACAATGTCCACGTGCCTTTAAGTAAGATAATAAAGTTTTTGTACTTTTTACTTTGTTAGCCTAGTAAACTAACCCCACCCGCCAGTAGCAAAAATAATTTTTGCCTGCGAGTGGTCTAGCCTTGATCAATGCCCCAGGCCCTAAATCTGGCGTACCAATCACAATGCAGAGATGTGTTTTGAATGTCTGGATGCAAAGCGGGCGGGGTTTTGAGGGCGTGACGACAAAGCTGGATGACGCTGGAGAAAGCACAACAGTAGCATGCACTGCTGCAGCAGCAGCTTTCAATAGAGAACTCTGGTAAAAGTTCTCTTTTCTGTTGCTGTTGTTCAATAAAAGTATGTTTCAAGATAATTTGAGGCAAATATTATACTTTAAAGTTTCACTATCTGGTCCATTTACCGATTTAATGTGTAATTAAAAAAAACAATATCCGAAGTTGAGGGGACCGCGGCAACCAGCGGAGCAGCACGTCTGCAGTGGCCCTCTCTCGGCAAAGTCGTGTGTAAAGGAACACTGGCTCTGATGGGCATTTTTGACTCAGCTTTAGAATCAGTTTTGGAAGGATCAGACTTGGGGTTTTTGTTGAAACGTGAGCAGGAAGAGGCTCTGCGCTCATTCGTTTTTAAGAAGGACGTATTCGCCGTTTTACTAACAGGCTGTTTGTTCACACTACCCCACCAGCTTCCTGTCGTGCTTACTGCGTCACAGTCACTTGAGCTCATTGTTCAGAGCGTTGGCCAATAGGCACAGACAACGGGTTGTTCTCATCAACAATCTTCCGATGTCTCATTTATCGGGGCCAGACTAAATAACACCTTTCATCTCCCATTTAGTCTGGTTTATCAGGCTATTACTTGGTACCTCTGCTGATCCAGAAACAATACTTATCACACAAGATTTTGCTTCCATTTATATGTGGTGATATAAAAAAAAACTATTTGTATGTTTATACTTTAATTGAAGCTAGTGTTCCTTTCTTTATACATTTTTCTCACTTTTTAAATACCTTGGTGCTGTTGTTTCAGCTTCTCCAACTCCTCTGACTTAGCTGTGTGTAAAAAAAAAAAAAAAAAAACAATTACAAAGTTATTGCTTTGATGGATCATTGTAAGTCAATAGGACAATGCAAATACATGTCTAACATCACCTACTCTAGCTGGTTTTCATTATAAAATTTTTACCAATCTGACCGTTTTAGGTGATTTAATTTTCTTTGTAAAAGGTAATTAGATGAGGTTTTGTGTATTAGTGCTATAAAATGCTATCACAAAAAAGTGTAAGTTCTATGTGGCATCTATGGATTAGATTCAATCCCCAGACTCCCAGGCAAAAGTCATGCATGCAGACTCATCAACCAAAGGGAGTTAACCTAGCCAAGTAGCCAGGGTGCATCATGATTTGGAGGCATAGTGACAGGACCCCACTGGACCATGTATCCTCATCTACACCCTATGTGTCGTATTATTATATTTTGTTTGAAACTATGTAGTGACATGCTAACTGTTAACAGGGAGCTTTGCTTTAAACTTTGGGTCAGATGGATCTTGAGAGGGTGTAGCTTTAGGATGAATAAAAAACCTACATTTAAGTTCACGCTCAACTGCACCCTCTAAGAGAAATGTTGAGGTGGACCAGAGTCAATTATCTAATTATAATTATATGTATTATCTGTATTGTCTGCTCAATATCAGATATTTTTGTTCAACTTAATTGGAATAAATTCTGTAAAAAATGTTTTCTCTTTTTTGTATTACACAGGGATCACTCCCTCACAAATAAAGGACCAGGTTCAAACACTTTCATCCTTCAAATTGCTGCAGCTGTCTGACCATATGTGTTTTTGTATTGTGTCTCTTGCATTGGTTGTTCTGAAAGAAATTGAATTGTACTTGGTACAATGTCAAAGAAAAAGCACTCTGATCTGGATTCACTGAGAGGTTTCTTTTTTCGTCTTACAATCTACAGTTCCTTGCAGATTGTAATGGATATATTTGTACTACACTCTAGATATTGAAAATGTGTTACTTGTAAAAGTATCAAATGGATATTAAAAATATTATAATATAAAAATATTCTTCACATGAAAGCAGCCATAATGTAGTTTGATAAAAACCTTGGTACAGTTGTTTCAGCTTCTCCAACTCATCTTTCAGCTCTCTTGTGTTAGCTGTTGTAGTAATAAAAAGGAAACAGTAAATTGTGCTGTTATTTCATTGAGACAAGCATTCAAAGAAACCATTCTAAACAGCTGCTACTACAGTAAATATACCTTCATGATCTCTCTGTAGGTACTTTGTCTCCACCTTCAGTCCAGCCACCGAGGCGATCAACTCTCTCAGCACAGTATTGATGTCCTGTGGAATTGTTTGATGAGGGTTTTGAACAATTTCAGCATCTTCTACCTGTGATCCATTTTTCCTTGAATGGGAATCAATTTCTTTGTGGGTCAAAGCCTGGAGCTGAGATATAGACAGAGAGCAGATTAGCAGCAGTGCTCGGAAAAACATTGTCATCTCCATTCTAAGTTTAAGTCTGCAGGTCTGCTTTGTGGACTGTTTGGAACCCATACCTTAAATATCCCATGTATTAGCAAGGACTAATCATTAACCTGTTTTATTTTATCTGCACGTGTTTCTAAATAACACATGCAGATAAGACTTGAAACCTTGGCCTTTTGACTTCAGGGAACAAAAAATATTTTGGAAGGTAAACATAGAAATGTTATCTGTTTGTAGAGATGGAACTTTAATCTAAAATCTGAATCTGAAGTAAAAAAAACAATTTGAATTTCTCAAGTTTCAAGGATATAATATTCTGGAGGATATTCTAAGTTGAACCATATTAAGAACAATAAGTTGCTGGGATGTTTTTTGTTACAATTTACATTGTTTAACTGTCTCATGGTAATTATCTTGTAATTATCCTGTCATGTCTCATGGTAATCCTGCAAGTCCGACATTTTTTTTCTCTCACTATATTTTAATGATTAAAGATGAAGGGTGTAGAAGAAACTAAAGTTCAACTGATATTTTATTCCAAAGGCTGGCAAAAGAATATCAAACCCGTAAGAGAGCTTGCACAAGCCAATTTCTCCTCTTGAAAGCTCTGTTTAAAAGCTGCTGTCAAAATTGGGACAAGTATGTAGGACGGCCTTAAGTAAATATATCACCAGAATAATTGACAATTAGGAGGACCACTTATTTTGATGATGCAGCTGGAAAAAGGGCATCTACTTCTATACCTTTAATATTTTGAGCTCTGTGCTTCCACTGGAAGCTGCTGCTGAGCTGTCTGCTCTGATGCATACTCAGAGCAGACAGCTCTGCACTGAGGGGTGAGAACAAGGTCCAGACACGTTGTGTTTTTTGGTCTTGTGTTCTCGTGAATTGGAATAGTGCTGGGGCTGAAGCTGATGTGCACAAGTACACACATTGAGAAATGGCCATAGATTCCCTTCTTCAACATTGTATTGAGACCTATATTTTTATTTTCTCAGTTTTATAACTAAAACTAACTGTCAAATTTAACTTTGCATCCTCTTGAAAAACTACAACAACTTTTAAGGTCACAAAGTCCATGTGCCTTTAAGTATGATAATAAAGTATTTGTACTTTGTTACCTGGTCAGCCTAGTAAACTAGCCCAACCCGTAAATAAAACATAAACAATGAGCAATGACAACAAATTTTTATGTTTTAGGTTGTCCAAAATATCCTTGAAATTGGGATTTGTTCCAAAAGGGTTAGAGAAAAAAAATAGTTTGAACTGTTAGGAATCCAGTTTGTGTGGGTTGTTTTGTGTTCGTCTCTCGCTCCTCCACTAGGTGGCGCCCTGTCCTCGTTGGCCCTCCAGCACACCTGTGGCTTGTTGGTTCATCACTGGGGAGCATTTGAGCCGTTGACTGCCACTACCTCGACGCCAGAGTGTTTGCCAGTTTTGGGTACTCTAGCCAAGCCGTGATTAGCTGAGCCTCATCTGAGTTTCGTTTCTCTGACATTAACTGTGTCTTTGTCTTTGCCTTTTGGCCTTCTCCCCCTGGAAGGATCTTTTGTGTTCACACTTACCTGGGAAAAATTTCCACACAATCCGTTCAAGTACCGTTGTAATTCCAAGTGGCAGTCCGCTGTCATACTCCTCAGGGACCACTCCACCAACCTGTCCGTCCTCCAATGAGTTGCCCTTCCTCTGGAAAACCCACACATTCTGGAATCAAAGTTTTGACTGAGACCCCCTCCTATGTGAGTCCCCTTTCCTCAATGTTTCAAGAACTCTATTCAATTTCCTATGGCCATTGAACTAACCGCTGTGAACTTCCCTTCCACTTCTAGTTCCGGTTCATCTGCTCACTGAGTTCAAGATTCCTCCTCCTGTTGTCTTCATCAATAAACCTGTTAAACTTTCCCTTGGTTCTCTGAGTGGATTTCTGCGTGTGGGTCAGGTCCCTTAAAAGCATCATGACATGAACAATCTAGGCTTTTTAATACTACTGAAGTATTTAAATGCATTCAAATTCAAACTGTGGGTTTTTCAATTTCCATTTTTATTCAAAGGCAGAGAAATAAATTTTACATTTTAGTTTGAAATATATTCAGAATTCTTTGCACATAGATCTAAAAATAGACACAGACACAAACGCATTAAAACAAACACACCTATACCCAACAGTCATCCACTGATTAATTTATAAAATATATTTGTTTACACAGCACTTCTAAACAGTTATTAATGCTTCTTCTTGAATACAATCAACTTAATCCTTCAGAACCACAAGAGGAACATGGATAATCTGTGGAAACTACTGTGCAGCAGAGTTGGTTTGAATCATTTATATTTTAGTCTGATTACATTTTTTCACATGAAACTAAAACTTTAACATGAAACAATAGTTTCTGACCATTTATAATGTTGATAGAGAAATCAGATCTTCTCATATGGTGAAAAGCAGATGGCCGCTGAAGGATGTATGATGATTTGTACTATCAATTATCCTTGTGTTTTGCCACTGACGCAAAAACACAACATCTCCTATTTCTAACAACAATGTCACACCATTGGCTGAAGAACCATATCCATTAACTTGATGTTCATATGCAATAAAAATGTGTTCTCCGTTTTTGACCAGCACAGCACCTGAAGGATGTGAAGAATGTCCATTTGCACCTACGTAGAACTCAAAGTGGTAGGCTCCTCTCAGTGGTGCTAAGAAAAACCCTGAAAAAAAGAAAAATTAAAATAATACTAAAAATTTGGAAAATTTGTGACAAAACTCCCAGTTTTCAATAATACCCATGAAATCTAGAACGTTACCTTTCCAAAATCAACTAACATGATATAAAGTCTATTTTTTTCTTACGTGACATTATCATTCCAGGACCTTCTGACCAAAGTTTGACATGTGCTTTGAACAATATAAATAAACAGTATATGAAACAATTATTAAACCAAGTTACCTGTGTTTGGGTTGTAGGCATTTCCGATATTTGTAACAACATGCCTGAAGATCAGAGGGACGGGCGAGTTAAATGGACCAAGAATTTCTGTGCCTGAGGCCAACAATGAAGCTGAGAAAGCCACTCGTTTCACTATAAGGAAGAAAGTATTGTGATTTGGTTTGGTTTTGATTAAGAAGAAAAATTCACATTAGCTGAAGAATACTTTACAACGTATAGAATTTAGAAATTACAAACTTTTTAGTAAGAACAATTAACTATTTGTCTTTTTTAATTTATAATAAGCTTAAAACAGACAAACTAGTAACACGTGGAGAGAGACGAGTGTTGACTACTCTTTCCTGTATGGTTTGCATAAAAACAGTATGCAAATCCACTGCTCTTGCAGCGGACAATGTGTTCAGTGTGAATGCACCCTAATGGTTGTGATGGTTGACAAAAGAAGTTAATTTCTGGATTCACAAACCTTCGGTTTCTTTCTTCAAAGTCTCCACCTGATTCTCAGTGATGTTTGTCCTGCTTTTAACATTGATAAGATCTTCTATCTGAGCTGAAATCATACAAAGCAAAACATTTGTTATAAACGACATCAATAATACCATAATATTAATAAAAATATGTATTTTAAGTTTTGTAACATTTTGCTAAACCTCATTTAGCAGACACCATGACTAGGCATAAATAAGTAACATTATTCTTATACTTATTAATGATTATTTATCATGCAAGATTTTGCTTGTTTTATATTAGGTGATGTTATAAAAAAATGCAGTTAATACAAATGTATTGTTTATACTTTAATTAAGTTAGTGTTCCTTTTTAATTGCATTTCCACATTCTTTAAATACCTTGGTTCTGTTGTTTCACCTTGTCCAACTCTTGTGTCTGAACTGTGTGGAAAAAATAGATAAAAATATTTTACAAAGTTATTGCTTTATCGGATTGAACCTTCTTTCTTCAGAGCCTCCACACTGTTTTCAGTGATGATTGCCCTGCTTTTAACATTGATCTATTCTTTTATCTGTGCTGAACTCATACAAAGCAAAACATTTGTTAACAAAACACAATAAAAATAACTGTAGGAGCCATTTGTCCTTTCCTGTATTTATCATCACCAGGTGGTGTATTTCATTTTGAGTTCTGATTGGCTGATGGAAGATGGGGTTATTTAAGCCCAACCCTGATTCTGCTGTTAATGAGAGAATGCAACAGTTTTCTACTGTGTTTGGTTTAGATTAATGTTGAATTTATGTATATGGAAAGGAAAGTACTAAAACAATGGATACTGTTCTGTTAATTAATGACTTTATAATGAGTATTATAAGATCGGCATGATAATCTTAATTGAGCAAACATAAAACCAGCACCTTTCAGGAACAGCAACCAGTAGCCTAAAATATAGGTTTTTAGCTGCTACAATATTAACGATTATGCATATTTTTATAGAATTCTTGTAACATTTAGCTAAAACTCATAAAGCAGAAAATATGAACAGCCCATAGGTTTTCCAAATCAAATTCATTATTTCTTTATTTCTATGTAAACCATTTTTTGTTTTTAATTATGCATGTCTGATGCACAGAGGTGTCAAAAGTATAAACGTTTATTACTCAAGTGGAAGTAGAAATCCTACTGTTTAAAAACACTTTTGTAGAAGATAGAGTATCAATTTAAGCTTTTTACTTGAGAAAAAATACCATGTTTAAAACTATTTAAAGTATAAAAGTAACACAGGAAAAAGTGTTTGTCACGGTCCTGGTTCTGTTATTTATTTATTTATTTTTTTGAGTATTCAGCTTTACTTTGCTCCATGTTTTCTAGTTTTATCGGTTTAATTTCTATGTTGTTGTGTTTTCTGGATATATTTGAGTTCTAAGGTTTTTATTTGTTGCCCTCTGTTATCCTCTTGTGTTGGTCTTCTTTTCCCTAGCTCCTTTCTAGACTCCTCTCTTCACACCTGCTCCCAATCAGGTCGTTAGTCCTCTCTTTGTTCAGCCTCCCATATAAACTCTCCTTGTGCAGTTCCTCAGTGCTGGTTCCTCGTCTTACCTCGTTTATCCTTGTCTTTCCCTGACTCCATGGTTCTGGTTAAGTTTTACATTTTAAGTTGGATATTGTATTCCTGCGTCTGTTACCTGTATTGAATTATTACAATTCTGGAACATAACTTCTTATACTTTATTTTCTCAGTTTTATAACTAATAGTAACAGTGTCAAATTTATTCTTTCATCCTCTTGTACTTTGTTACTTGGTCAGCCTAGTAAACTAGCCCAACCCGCCAGTAGCAAAAATAATTTTTGCCTGCGAGTGGTCTAGCCTTGATCAATGCCCCAGGCCCTAAATCTGGCGTACCAATCACAATGCAGAAATGCGTTTTGAATGTCTGAATGCAAAGCGGGCGGGGTTTTGAGGGCGTGACGACAAAGCTGGATGACGCTGGAGAAAGCACAACAGTAGCATGCACTGCTGCAGCAGCAGCTTTCAATGGAGCACTTCGTAAAAAGTTCTCTTTTCTGTTGCTGTTGTTCAATAAAAGAACGTTTCAGGATAATTTGAGGCAAATATTATACTTTAAAGTTTCACTATCTGGTCCATTTACCGATTTAATGCGTAATTTAAAAAAACAACATCCGAAGTTGAGAGGACCGCGGCAACCAGCGGAGCAGCCCGTCTGCAGTGGCCCTCTCTCGGCAAAGTCGTGTGTAAAGGACCGCTGGCTCTGATGGGCATTTTTGACTCAGCTTTGGAATCAGTTTTGGAAGGATTAGACTTGGGGTTTTCGTTGAAACGTGAGCAGGAAGAGGCTCTGCGCTCATTCATTTTTAAGAAGGACGTATTTGCCGTTTTACCAACAGGCTGTTTGTTTACACTCCCCCTCCAGCTTCCTGTCGTGCTTACTACGTCACAGTCAGTTGCGCTCATTGGTCAGAGCGTTGGCCAATAGGCACAGACAACGGGTTGTTCTCATCAACAATCTTCCGATGTCTCATTCATCGGGGCCAGACTAAATAACACCTTTCATCTCCCATTTAGTCTGGTTTATCAGGCTATTACTTGGTACCTCTGCTGATTCAGAAACAATACTTATCACACAAGATTTTGCTTCCATTTATATGTGGTGATATAAAAAAATTACGTATGTATATATGTTACAAATTACATATTACATATGTATATATGTATTCTTCACATGAAAGCAGCAATAATGTAGTTTGATAAAAACCTTGGTACAGTTATTTCAGCTTCTCCAACTCATCTTTCATCTCTCTTGTGTTAGCTGTTGTAGTAATAAAAAGGAAACAGTAAATTGTGCACAAGATCACGCAAGATTTTGCTTCCATTTATATGTGGTGATATAAAAAAATCATTTGTATGTTTATACTTTAATTGAAGCTGGTGTTCCTTTCTTTATACATTTTTCTCACTTTTTAAATACCTTGGTGCTGTTGTTTCAGCTTCTCCAACTCCTCTGTCTTAGCTGTGTGTAAAAACAAAAACAAAATAACAAAGTTATTGCTTTGATGGATCATTGTAAGTCAATAGGACAATGCAAATACATGTCTAACATCACCTACTCTAGCTGTTTTTCCTTAGAAAACTTTTTAACAATCTGACCGTTTGAGGTGATTGAATTTTCTTTGTAAAAGGTAATTAGAGAAGGTGTTGTGTATTAGTGCTATAAAATGCTATCATAAAAAAAGTGTAAGCCCTATGTGGCATCTATGGATTGGATTCAATCCCCAGACTCCCAGAAAAAAGTCATGCATACCTAGCCAAGTAGCCAGGGTGCATCATGATTTGGAGGCATAGTGACAGGACCCCACTGGACCTTGTATCCTCATCTACACCCTATGTGTGGTATTATTATATTTTGTTTGAAACTATGTAGTGACATGCTAACTGTTAACAGGGAGCTTTGCTTTAAACTTTGGGTCAGATGAATCTTAAGAGAGTGTAGCCTTAGGATGAATAAAAAACATACATTTAAGTTCACACTCAACTGCACCCTCTAAGAGAGATGTTGAGGTGGACCAGAGTCGATTATCTAATTATAATTATATGTATTATCTGTATTGTCTGCTCAATATCAGATTCTTTTTTTAACTTAATTGGAATAAATTCTGTTAAAAATTTCTTCTTTTTTTGTATTACACAGGGATCACTCCCTTACAAATAAAGGATAAGGTTCAAACACTTTCATCCTTCCAATTGCTGTAGCTGTCTGACCAAATGTGTTTTTGTATTTTGTCTCTTGCATGGGTTGTTCTGAAAGAAATGGAATTGTACTCGGTACAATGTCAAAGAAAAAAAGCACTCTGATCTGGATTCACTGAGAGGTTTCTTTTTTCGTCTTACAAACTACGGTTGCTTGCAGATTGTAATGGATATATTTGTACTACACTCTACATAGTGAAAATTAGTTACTTGCAGGAGTAGCAAATGAATATTAAAAATATTATAATATAAAAATATTATTTACATGAAAGTAGCAATAATGTAGTTTGATAAAAACCTTGGTACAGTTGTTTCAGCTTCTCCAACTCATCTTTCATCTCTCTTGTGTTAGCTGTTGTAGTAATAAAAAGGAAACAGTAAATTGTGCACAAGACCACGCAAGATTTTGCTTCCATTTATATGTGGTGATATAAAAAAATCATTTGTATGTTTATACTTTAATTGAAGCTGGTGTTCCTTTCTTTATACATTTTTCTCACTTTTTAAATACCTTGGTGCTGTTGTTTCAGCTTGTCCAACTCCTCTGACTTAGCTGTGTGTAAAAACAAAAAAAGAATTACAAAGTTATTGCATTGATGGATCATTGTAAGTCAATAGGACAATGCAAATAAATGTCTAACATCACCTACTCTAGCTAGTTTTCCTTAGAAAACTTTTTAACAATCTGACCATTTGAGGTAATTGAATTTTCTTTGTAAAATGTCATTAGAAGAGGTGTTGTGAATTAGTGCTATAAAATGCTATCATAAACAAAAGTGGAGGTCCTATGTGGCATCTATGGATTGGATTCAATCCCCAGACTCCCAGGCTAAAGTCATGCATACCTAGCCAAGTAGCCAGGGTGCATCATGATTTGGAGGCATAGTGACAGGACCCCCCTGGACCATGTATCCTCATCTACACCCTATGTGTGGTATTATTATATTTTGTTTGAAACTATGTAGTGACATGCTAACTGTTAACAGGGAGCTTTGCTTTAGACTTTGGGTCAGATGGATCTTGAGAGGGTGTAGCTTTAGGATGAATAAAAAACCTACATTTAAGTTCACACTCAACTGCACCCTCTAAGAGATATGTTGAGGTGGACCAGAGTCGATTATCTAATTATAATTATATGTATTATCTGTATTGTCTGCTAAATATCAGATATTTTTGTTAAACTTAATTGGAATAAATTCTGTTAAAAATGTCTCTTTTTTGTATTACACAGGGATCACACCCTCACCAAATAAAGGACCAGGTTCAAACACTTTCATCCTTCCAATTGCTTCAGCCGTCTAACCATATGTGTTTTTGTATTGTGTCTCTTGCATGGGTTGTTCTGAAAGAAACTGAATTGTACTTGGTACAATGTCAAAAAAAAAAAGCACTCTGATCTGGATTCACTGAGAGGTTTCTTTTTTTCGTCTTACAATCTACAGTTCCTTGCAGATTGTAATGGATATATTTGTACTACACTCTAGATCAGTGGTTTTTTCAAAGTACCGTATTTTCACGACTATAAGGCGCACATAAACGTCTTTTTTTCCCTCAAAATGTGCGGTGCGCCCTATGTGTGTTGTAACTGCGACTTTTGAGACAACCTCATTGAGGAGATGATGAAAGAGTGGCTGAGGGAGGTGAATGTAAGGAGACCATGTGGTTTTTTTTCCACTCATCACCATCGCTGTTAATCGCTGTCAACCAATCAGAGAAGCTGATCTGGGAGCTGGCCGTGAGACAGACACATCGCTCTGATGACAAATGATATTAAGGCAAATGAAAAGGGCTGAACGGATGAGGAGATGATGAAAGCGTGGCTGAGGGAGGTGTATGTGAGGTGACCAGGTGTTTTTTTTCACCATTTCACCATCGCTGTTAATCTGTGACTCCATGCGTGCCCATCTCACAGCCGATGTGAAAAACATGGTGAAACAAATAAACGCTGTGCTCGCCGTTATCCCGGGAGGTCTGACAAAGGAACTTCAACCGCTCGACATCGGTGTGAACCGGCCGTTCAAAGTAAGGCTGCGAGCGGCGTGGGAGCGATGGATGACAGATGGAGACCACAGTTTCACGAAAAGTGGAAGGCAGCGCCGGGCAAGTTACGCCACCGTTTGCGGATGGATTGTTGATGCTTGGACTAACGTGTCTGCTGGCACTGTCATTTCCGAGGAGCCGCGCGGCACGGAAAGTGACTCTGACAGCGAAGAAGGGGAAATTGGCATGTCTGATTTAGCGCAGCTGTTTAATTCAGAAACAGAGGATGATGACTTTGATGGGTTTGATTAATACTTTGTAATAAATACATGAATAAAGCACAAACATACTCAGTTTTGCTCCCGCTCCTGTTTTCTATCTGAAAACTTAATTCAACAGCAGCCTCTGGGCCGCGTCGCCTCTGGTTTCACCGCGGCGGCTGGCAGGTGTTTTTTCATCTAAATAATCTAAATCTTGCAGCTATATTTGCTGTGATCAGTGGGAATAAAGTAGTTTAATATGTTTTTAAGTGAGAAAGTCCACCTGAAAACTTAATAATTGCAGTCAGTTCATCCAGATTATCATCCTGCCTGTACTATTTCTGTTGGAGGCGTGGTGCACCGACAGTAGGAATTCCTTCAACAGCAGCCTCTAGGCCGGGTAGCCTCCAGGTTCACCGCGGTGGCTGGCAGGTGTTTTTCATCTAAATAATTTAAACTGCAGGCACCAGGATACCGGTAATAAAAGCGAACATATTCTGTCGGCAGGTATCAGGATTTTAAGTTAATTTAGGAGTAATCGCAGCGCTGTGTCATCTGCGATGTGTCTGTCTCATGGCCAGCTCCCAGGTTTGATTAATATTTTGTAATAAATACATGAATAAAGCACAGTCATACTCAGTTTTGCTCCCGCTGTATTTTTAAATACGCAGTAGAGGTATTTAAACGTAGTAGAGGACATGTACCTGTATATAAAAAACACGCCCCATAGTCTGGTGCGCCTTATGTGTGTACAGAAATGGCACACATAACTGGGACTGCGCCTTTTAGTACGGTGCGCCTTATGGTTGTGAAAATACGGTAGTAAAGAAAACATAAAATGAAGCCCCTCGTCTTAGAATATATTTGCTTACATCAAAATAAATTTACAAAATTGTTAAAATGTAAAAATGTACATTCAATAAAAAACTCATCAATCTATGAAAAAATCCTGCGGCACCCCTGTAGTGACCTCGCGGTAACCCTAGGTGCCGCGGCACCCACTTTGAAAACCCCTGCTCTAGATATTGAAAATGTGTTACTTGTAAAAGTAGCAAATTATATTAAAAATATTATAATATAAAAATATTCTTCACATGAAAGCAGCAATAATGTAGTTTGATTAAAAACCTTGGTACAGTAATAGAAAGGAAACAGTAAATTGTGCTGTTATTTCATTGACACAAGCATTCAAAGAAACAATTCTATGCAGCTGCTACTAAATATACCTTCATGATCTCTCTGTAGGTACTTTGTCTCCACCTTCAGGCCAGCGACCGAGGCGATCAACTCTCTCAGCACAGTATTGATGTCCTGTGGAATTGGTTGTTGAGGGTTTTGAACAATTTCAGCATCTTCTACCTGTGATCCATTTTTCCTTGAATGGGAATCAATTTCTTTGTGGGTCAAAGCCTGGAGCTGAGATATAGACAGAGAGCAGATTAGCAGCAGTGCTCGGAAAAACATTGTCATCTCCATTCTAAGTTTAAGTCTTGGCAGGTCTGCTTTGTGGACTGTTTGGAACCCATACCTTATATATCCCATTACCAAGGACTAATCATTCACCCATTTTATTTTATCTGCACGTGTTATTTAGAATCCCATGCAGATAAGACTTGAAACCTTGGCCTTTTGACTTCAGGGAACAATAAGTACATTGGAAAGCAAACATATAAATGTTATTTGTTTGTAGAGATGGAACTTTGATCTCAAATCTGAATCATAGGAAATATGATACCATCTTTACTGTAATCCACATGTTCTACATATTTCACTAAGCTAAAAAACAGTTTTAATTTCTTTCAAGGATAGAATATTCTGGAAGATAATCTAAGTTGAACCATATTAAGGACAATAAATCGTTGTTGTTTACATAGTTTAACTGGTATGAAAGTCATGTAGCTCAGATTATTAGCCTTTATGAAAATACTTATACAACAAAAAAAAAGTTCATGTAGATAGATTGCTGATCATAATTTCTCAATTTTCAAAGATCATGTCAATCTGGAGTGATAGCTAAAGTAGACTATAGGAATTTTCCTACAATGCTAATCCTTAATTTTTTTTAAATATTGTTTAGAAACACATATTGCAGATTAAAAGTGTTTATAATGCTTTTATTGAGGAAAAATGAATAAAATACTCATTGCTCATCAGATTGTTGATGGAAAGTATTTGGGTCATCAGATAGACACAAGGAAAGAACCATGTTTGGTCCTTCTTTATAAATTTATCTACCAATAGAAATGTTATTACATTTAAGTCTCTGGAATTTCAATTAAAGCTGGGTTTCAATGAAAATTGCTTAACATCGATTGGCAAACAGTCCACAATTTCTAAACATTGAAAATATTCCAATGAGCTTACTTTACCGCAAGGAAGGTTTAACTATTTCCTCAATACCTGTTTGGTAAATATATAAACAGATAGCTCTGAAACAAAGTTCATCATGGTCAGCATGTGGGGACTGTCTTTCAATTTTTCTTTAATATTTAACTTTTTATTATGAGCTCAGGGGTCTAGACTCTTTATATCGTACTTGTACCTTGTGCTTTAATATTGATATATTAATGATTAATATATAATATTAATATTTATGATTTATTTTTTTATGTCCATTGTGAGACATGAGATTATCTGAAATGTTTTAAACAAAAATATCCAACATTTAGTGTGTCTTCTTTGGACAGAAATAAAACAATTTCATTTACTTTATGTTCAACATACTAATCTTTCAAAGTAGAAGCATTCAGTGGCCGACTTCTTAAAATCTCTCAGTTTCCCTTATGTTAGTTTGGTTGACAGCACCAAATCCGCAGAAGTTTTAGGCATGTGAGGCATCTGTGCAGGTTATATATTTTTTTCAAAGTCTCTTGACATTTTGTTAAGTTGTCATTTCAACATAGATACCTCTTTTCCTCATGGTAATTATGCTGTCATGTCTCATGGTAATCCTGCAAGCCTGCCATTTTTTTCTCTCACTATATATTAAAGGAAAATTCCGGTTTTTAACACTTTAAGCCCATTTTCTGTAGTGTCCAGGATGAAATCGAATGATCAATACCAAAATTTTGACAATTGCTCCTGTCTCTGCTTTTTGGCTCATTTAGAATCACCCCCTGGCTGCTTCAGAATGGCTTCCATAGTGCATGTCCGATAATGTCCTTAAAACAACCTTAAACGTTCTTTTTTAAAAATATGCTACTCACCGGGTCGTCAGCGCTGTTCAATGACGTTCCAAAAAAAGTTTCGTAAAGAAAAAACGTTCCTGTAGTGTTTTATTTAGCATTTTGTAAATCCCCTTGAGTTCTGTTGG